TTCCCCCCCCCCCCCCCCCTTTGGTATCTGTCTTTTCCTTTTCTAACATCTAGTAGCAATGCCGAGGGAGGTGTCGGATTGATCTGTGCCTGTCTGCCTGTCCTCAACGTCATGTTTTCCCATTACAGGAAGCAGTACTCGTCGCAGAAGTACTACCAGAACGGCGGTTCTAGCCATCCGTTGAGTGATAGGAAATCGGCCCCGGCTTCCAATGTTGCCGCTGACTGGGACAAGGTGACGAACTTTGGTGACCAGAGCCATCTGATTTCATTCGCCGGTCCCCCGGAGGCTGGCGAGTCTGGCAGCGAATCTATCTACAACCAGGACGGCATCAGGAAGACGGTGGCTGTATCACAGACCGTGGAATCATCTTAACGGCTTTTTTCGTCACGTTTCTCGACATTTATACCATATACCCTCTATCATTAATTACCATAATGAATTTCCTTTCTGTCTCCTTTTCTTCCCTTGGTTTTTTACCTGCATATACTGTTGTACACGTACGTGCATTGCCACTTACAAATTTGGCGTATGTTCAGGTAAATTGATCGTCTTTGTCCTATCGAGACAAGCAAGATTGGGTCTTTGTTGGGGCATGCCCCTTGTATTCCCCTGCTGTCGAAAGTCAAACAATGGCCTTCACGAACTCCCTTCTCTTCTTTGTTCGAGGACATCTTCACCACTTGCCCATATCAATATAAATACTCCAATTCCCCCGTCTACTCGAGTCTATCACCCAGTACTCACCACAACCATGCCTCAAGTATTCTCATCCTGGCAGGACAAGCTTCTGCACGAATGCCTTATTTTCAAAGACAACTTGGATGTCCAGGCCAATATTCTACGGTGCGATCCAGATGGTCGAGGAAAGGAGCGAAACATGGATGTCTCTCGGGCAGTAGCAAAACTGTCCGCTCAGACGGATCGGATCATAGACATTGCACTCTGTATGGTTGCTCGAGCTCCAAATAGCGAGATTATTCGTCGCAACACTGCCTTTTGGAGCCGTGAAGATGATGGTCATTACAAGTTCGAGAATGTGTTCCTTGTCATAGAGCACGACTTGGTCCATATGACATTGGCTCTGAACAAGCATCCATGTCAGTACAAATGTAACGACATCGCTGGACGTCTTGAGAGGATCGCAAGGAAAATTTCATTTAACCTGAATGTTTAGATAGTGATCTATGGAATCATTTGCTACGGGATGTGCTCTTTATCCTAACATTGTAAATCTAGATGTGGTCAG